ATGTGTGCCTTGTCCTGGTGTAGCAGGTTCTTCACCCTTAAAAGCTAGTGTAAAATTCACAGGGTTTTTGGTATTCTTTTTTAATTTAAAAAAAACAAAAACTCCCAGCCCGGCCAGTGTGGCTCAATTGGTTGAACATCATCTCATGTACCAGGAGGTCCATGGTTGAATTACTGATCAGGGCACATGTCCAGGTAGTAGGGAGCATCTTTCTTGCCCTTCCTCTTTCTGAATAAAGAATCAAAAGTCTTTTGAAAACAAACAACAACAACAGAAACCCCTCTAAACTATTGAATAGCTACCAGGGAGTTGCTGGAGACATAGGGTAAAGAAGAATGTGTGAGAACAGTAACTGCCTACGACTTCCCTCCTCAGGACTTTATTTCAGGAAACGTACTGGTGGGGCCACTGCTCCATTCACTTGTCCTGCCTCAGCCTCTGTGGACCCCACTGCAGGTCATGTGTGTGCTCCTCGGCTCCCTCCAGCTCAGCCCAGCACCAAACCTACCTACTTTCTTCTGTGTCCAACACAGATCCTTCGACGCGTGATTCCAAATGAATGTACTGGTTCCTCCACTCCTGCAAAGAGAGGAGAGTCATTACTAAGTCACATTAAGTCAGTGGGACTTAAATGCCTGAGTAAAAGAAATTCTGAGTGAACAAGATTTAATAATTGACCTAAATAAACACAGATAAATGCTGGTGGCTTAGCAATATGAGATGCAGAATGGAGCCAACCACACACAGGACAATAGCACAGTGTCCCCCAGTGGAGCAGTGGGACTGGGAAACAGCCCAGTATGTTTTGTGGCAGGAGAAAGCAGGGGAAATGCAGAATTCATATTTATGTGTCCGTTTCTAGGAGGGCTTTTGCTGGAAAAAGCAGCCACTTTGGCTAAGGGATACGTTTAGACTTCTCAATGTCACATAGAAGCCAAACATGGCACAGAAGCTACATGACAAGGATTGTCTAATGAGGATGAGATTTTCAATAAGAATAAAGGGTAAATGAGGACAATTTGGAATTCTTATCTGAAATGGTTAGGT